AGTTTTTATTTAAGAGACTGTTTATTTTATTTTTTCTCTGTGTTTTACTGGTTAAATTTCTACCTTATATTTTCTCTTAGCTAAGTGAATAAATCCTTTAATGCAAATTTTTTATATGTTTTACTTGTGTATATACCGCAGGGAATGTAAATACTTATAATTTTCATCATTATTTTATTTAATTTTGGTTGACTGTTATATTCTAATATGTTTTTATGGTATTCATTGTGATATATATTTCCCCTTTCAATGCTTTTAATTTACATCATTATTCTATTTAATTTCTGTTTCATTCTTATGTTCATATATATTTGCTATTATTGTATGCATTGTGATATATATTTTCCTTCAATTTTATATGTTAAGCGCTTAGAGTATTATGTTTATTAGATAGGCGCTATATAAAAGCTATGTAATAAATAAAATAAATAAATAAAGCTTTATACAAATAGTTTACGCCGTCGCCGCCGCCGCCGCATTGTAATCCTTATGTCTTGCATACTGCGACTTTCGTTGCATAACAGACAAAAACTGCCAAAATATGTGCAATTTTGGTACCCTTTCGTTCCATGTATATGTCTTTACATGCCAGTTTATTTTCGACTTATGAGTTTGAATATCCATTCGGTCAATCGCCTCTCCTTTATGCTTTTAGACTTGAATTTTGATGAAATGATTTTTACAAAAATTTCTGTAGAAAAAATAACTATATGTATTCTACATACCTCTTAAGATTTCCAAATAATTGAAAACGGTAAAATATTACTGATACTTTATACTTGTCAGTGTATTAATATAATACTTATGAATAAAAGAAAGAGCTGTTTTTAGTGGTTGATTTTATCTATATCATATATGAATGAAGCCTTGACAATAGTTTTGTTTAATCTTTTGTTGAAAACCTTTTTAAATTATAATATGTTTTTTTCTGGAAACCAATTAACGTTTTTAGAAAATCCTTCTTCACCACAAGCCGAAACTGAAATCGAAACCGATCCCGATAAGGAAACCGAAACCCAGGTAAGTTTAGTTAGTTGTCAGTAAACTATTATATATAATGAGCTATTATTGTCTTTTATATGTATTAATAATCATAATTATATTGTGTTGTCTGTATCTGTAACTTGATTAATAAGCTTGTTATGATCCCTATGATTAGGAAAAATAAAATAGTCTTATTCTAGTAAACATTCTTTCCACTGGAGTGCACACTAAGTTACATATAAAAATAATATGGATTTTTTAAATCACATTACTGATGCAAGGTTCCGGATACAAACGAAAACACAAATACAACAGAAGGGGTTTTCCTTTTAAAATTTGTATTTCCTTTCCTTCTATCTGCCTAAAAAGGGAAATGCTACCGGACAGAATATCTACCGTTTCTTTCAAAACTAAACTGTAAAATTTGCACAAACATTATTTTTTAAATGTTTTATTTTCTTAATACTATAGAAAGAGTGACATATGATAGATGTAACATAATGTATCTGCATACAAGGTATGAAGCATCCATGTCTTCTACTTACTGACATATAAAGCTTTATACAAATAGTTTACGCCGCCGCCGCCGTATTGTAATCCCTATGTAAAATCGAATGAACATCGAAAGGAAAATCGTACCGTGTGAACGCAGCTTTACATAACCTGAATACAATTTTACATCGTGAATATAGGTACATGCCCAGATATTCTTCAATATCATAAAAAAAAACAAATGGATAAACAGATATCCTATCTTTTCTTTGTCTGTTGATGGTCCGTTACAGTACCAGATATTAGTTACCATTGAGCCCAAACATTTTTTGCCGGGGTAGTTAAGATAGTGTCATTTGAAGTAAAAAAAAACTTGAACTTTCACAGAAGCTTGAAGTTTTGCTGCTTCTGTTGGTTGCATTTTGTATATATTGCAAATTCTTGTGACAAATGAAATGTGAATCTGATGTATACATTTACCTGGGAAAAATAACCAATGTTACGAAGAAGAATGGTTAAATTGATTGTTATGTAATATAGAAATAAGAAGATGTGGTATGAATATTGCCAGAGAGAAAACTCTCCACCAGAGACCAAATGACATATAAGGTTAGCAATTATAGGTCACCGTATGACCTTCAACAATGAGCTAAACCCATACTGCATAGTAAGCTATAAAAGGTCCTGAAATGACAATTGTAAAACAAGAAAACTAATGGCCTGATTTATGTAAGAACAATAAAAGAAATACAAATATGATAAACAGCAACAAAAGACAACCACTGAATTACAGATTCCATGCATGGTTTCAATAAAGTGATAAAAATATGCCATGTTATAACCCTCTAACATAGTTGTGAGAATACTGTAAGGGTTTTCCTTATCCATTATGGATGTTGTACCATCAAAACAAATTCTTGTTTTCAAGTGAAGAAATCATTATGTGAAATTTGTTGTTTCTATTTAGAATGAAAAGTACAAGCATTGATATATTGTAACTAGTAGGCTATTAGCACGGTATCTTATTGAAAATGATATGTCAATGGTACCTGCAAAATTGTTTTTATCATCCAAAACTTAAAATTTTATTGGTTCTTTTTCAGAAAGTTTTTTTTAACGGACTTTTCATAAATCTGTTGACATATCACTTTTAATTTTTAAATTAAATTGCATCTGACATTTTACTTTGTTGTTTATCAAAAACTTTCAATAATCCTTTACAAAGCTCATTTTTTAAGACATGTATTTGACTAAAGTTTGAGCATATAATTTTGCCATGTTGGTAAATTGAAAAAAGATATAATGTAGTTATTGACAGAAATATTTTAAAAGGAGACATTACAAATGTTTTAAAAATCATAAGAGAAACAAGTACTAACTATGTTTAGTTAAGTCAATAGATTTCTTCAACCCTTTGTACTGTAGTTTATTGACTTGCATTTCTGATACTTCATCAACTGTCTTATAAACTTATAACAGTTTACTACCAAACAGAATTCATTTTAACAAACATATTACTGTATATCAATAATTTGAATCCCATGGGATTTTATTTTGTCCCATGTGATTTTATTTGTCCCATGGGATTTTTTTGGCCCATGGGATTTATTCAAATAATGCAGAATCCATTAGGATTAGGCTAAATCCCATGGGAATCCCATGTTTATTTAAATTCAAATTGCAAAAGAACTTTATAGTCTATAGCCTTAAAACGTGATGTTTAGTAAATCCCATGTTGTTACGCACATTTTGGTTATTAACATGACACTGTAGGTCTAAAAAAAAGTGTGGCGCCAGATTTGCAAATGAGTGTCTTGCAAATTTAAAGTGTTCAGTGTTGGTAGACTTTTCAACAAGTTGTTGGCATTCCTATGGGAACACACTGTGCGCCTCTCCTTGCCGACCTCTTTTTATTTTCATATAAGTCAGAGTTCCTTCAGATACTTGTCAAAAACAAGAAGATCAAAGAAGCCAGATTATTTAATTTCACATTCAAATATATATTGGTGATGTTCTTTCCATTAACAATCCAAACTTTTCTGATAGGATTCCATTAATATATCCTCCAGAACTAGAAATTATAGAAACAATAGACACGGCTTCCTCTGCCTCATTTTTAGACTTATACCTCGAATTTGACATAAGCGGTCATCGCAGTACCAGAATTCATGACAAACGAGACGATTTTAATTTTGAAATTATTTCCCCCACCTAAGCAGCAATATACCAACTTTATATGGAATATACATTTCCCAACTCATTAGGTATTCAAGACCTTGCAGCTGCTACTCATATTTTATAAAACGTCACCAGTTTCTAAGCAGAAAGTTGGTTAGCCAAGGTTATGTTAAAGAACGTCTCGCCCTTTTTCTAAAAAAAATTCATTGGAAGTAACCGACATCTTGTTGATAAATATTCCGTATTAACTTCACAAATAATACATGATGGTCTTGAAGTATAGATTCTAGGTACTGACGTTGTTTATCATCTTAATATCTTGTTTTAGTGTTCTTTTTATTTGTCCTTGTACATTTTTAACCTTTAATGTGTAGTCCACTTTTTTGCTAATATACTTTTGGCGTGGCTAGGTACTTATACATCCTGAAATTGTGTTATTGTGCTATAGTTAATTTTCTATTCTTGTCTTTCTATTTTGCTATATACTTTGTCTATAAAGTGTCTATATGCCATTTGTTTTTCTTTGTTGAAATAGTTATTTGTTTTTATAGTGATTAAGATCATATTACAATGTTGACTGCTGTACCCCAATTTTTGACATTTTTACCTATTATGTCTGTTTGTTTTGCTCACACGTTGTTGTCAACTAATATAATAGAATTCTATGCGACTGTCATACAAATGAGATGTTTCGCTAGCCATAAAACCAGCTTTAATCCACCATTTTTACATAAGGACATGCCTGTACCAAAGTCAAGATTATGACAGTTGCTTTCCATTCGTTTGATGTGTTTGAACTTTTGATTTTGCCATTTGATAAGGGACTTTCAGTTTTGAATTTTTCCTTGGAGTTCGGTATTTTTGTTATTTTACCTTATACCAAATAAAGTTCTTCTATTACTCATAATGAGTATTTCACTTAACAAAAAAATGTATTTTTTTAAGGCAGTCACGAGTTCGAGGACAATGAACATATGACAGGCGCAAACATTGCAATATTAGGTAGCTGCATACCAGCTATGAAGCATCCAGGTCTTCTACCTCCTGAAATATAAAGCTTTAAACAAATAGTTTAGGACTTCGCAGTCGCCGCGGATTGTAATCACTATGTCTCGCATACTGCGACTTTTGTGTCAGGCGGGTCAAACACTGCCAAAATAGGTGCAATTTTGGTACCCTCAGGTTACATGTATAATTATCATTGTCGGCTTGTTTTCGACTTATGAGTTTGAAATTCCCTTCGGTATCTTTCGCCTCTCTTTTATGCTTTTAGACTTCAATTTTGATCAAATGATCAGTACAAAAATTTCTGTTGAAAAAAATGCAACTCTATGTATTTTACATACCTCTTTAGATTTCCAAATATTTGAAAACGGTATAAAGAAACCTCTATAATATACTACGACTTGTCTAGCTGCTGCAAATTGAATGGCTGACAAGGGTCCTGCCGGTAAATCACGTGACTTCATTGCCAGCCACAAAAGCTTAACAAAATCCCCGGGTAAGTGCTCAATTTCACCACAACGGTAACATATTACTGATACTTTATATTCGTCAGCGTATTGATATAATACTTATGAATGAAAGATCTATGTGCTGTTTTTAAATGGATAAATTTGTCGATATCATATATGAGAGAAGCATATGACAATGGTAATGTTTAAATTTATTTAAATTTTAGTGTTTTTTCTGGAAACCGATTAGCGTTTTTAGAAAATCCTTCTTCACCATAAGCCGAAACCGAAATCAAAACTGATACCGAAAATGAAACCGATAACCAGAAAAGAATTATTAAGTGGTCTATAAACATTCTTATAATGGGAATGCACACTAAGTTACACACTAAATATAATATGAATTTTATTAATCTCATTACTGATGCAAGGTTCCGGATACAAACAAAAACAGTTATTATAAAATGCAAACACAAAGGATGTTGTAAATTCTGCTGATGAAAACATTATTTTCTCTCTATATAATGGTGCTCCATATGAAGGACTGAACGTTCTCCGCTAAAGAAAGTTTGCTGTCATAGTATTGACACACAAAACGTGCGTTCAAATACATACTTTGCCGCCAACATCAAATGCGGCTTCATTTCATAGCCAGAGGGCTTATCTTCAAATGAAAATGTGGATAGACAAGGACAATTTAAATCCATGTGAATGGGGTTGGAAAGTCGTTAATGAAAAGCTTGTTCCATGTTCCAAGTTATATGTTCGATGGACGCAGCTCCCTCTAAATTACTCAACATTATTCGATGCAATTGTAAGACAAGCTGTGACACTAAAAGATGTACCAGTCCTGTAGAAAAAACGAACTTGAATGTTCAGTAGCGTGTGGCGAATGTAAAGGAACTGGTTGCACAAATTCTAACAAAACAGTTGACATGGAAAGTTAAGTGACAATTAACTTCAAAAGATTTATGTAGAATATAAATAAAGACTTAATTTGCATAGTTTAGGGGTTTGGGTAAAAATTACTACATTTTTTCGTTATGCTTCTAACGTTAGTTTTTTAGTTGCAGGAAAAAGTATCATACCGGTTAATCGGTTTTCATTGTTGAAATAAGATCTATTGATATCTGATCTCCCTCATTATTTTCTTTTAAGAAAATATAAATTCCCGTTTTTTAGCGATTTTTCACTAAAAACCTTACATTTTCACCCAAAATTTTCAATTTCCCGCACTTTGAAGTTCGTCATATTTTTAAAAATTCATTGTTGTAATAAGATCTATTGACTTGATTAAAAATTATCTACCTTGCTATTTTCCTTTTTTAGTCACGGGAAATTTCCAGTTTTCAGCGATTTTTCATCAAACCCCTTCTGCCAAACTCTCTCGATTTTTTATATGTTCAAAAGTAAACAAAAATTAGCTAGAAAATCTTGAAGTACATTCTGTTGCAATTTGTTTGAGGTTTCGTCATATTTTGGCTAGAATGACTGGACTAAGCACAAATACAAAAGATGGGGTTTCACTTTCAAAATCCTGTTCTTATTACCTTTCCTATTTTAACATTCAAATTCACCCTTTTTGAGAAACCGATCATCAAGCGAAATCTTTGATTACATGTCAACATGAAGTGGATGACCGGAAGGAACTTCACTTGATCGGAAGTCAATACTGGATGTTTACGGAATGGAGCGAAATTCGTGATTTTTTCTAGCGGTATTAAGTTTTCTACGGGCACAGCCAGGATCATTTCAAATATATAAAATACATGAAAATGTACAGCTCTAGCTACGACGGCAGTGACGGCAACAAATTGTGGAAATATGTTTACATGAATTGACGACGTCGTTTATAAAACCCAGGTTGTATGTACCATACGCCCAAAACCGTGTTTGAACGTTTGGAAAATGATTGTGAATGTTTCTGTTCAAAAACATTGCGTTTTCTTATCGGCATTGTCGAAAACTAATGAAGCTGAGGTACTCGAAGAGAAATTGAGAAAGTTATTGCAAAAACAATAAAATGACAAGCAATTCTTAAAAGATTAACATCGAAATCGAAAGACTGAGCAACAAAAACCCTAATTAAAACCGGAAGGATAAGCAGATCAAGTAGTAGAGTACATTCATTTGGCTTGTTTCAATAGTCAGCAATGTTGGAGATCAGGGACACCGAACTAAAGAAAAAACAATTATGGCCGAGAAAAATTAGCTGGATTGCAATTTCTTCTACAAAAAACCGTCACCAATAAAGTAAAATATTATTTTTTTTACTAATACAGAACAAGAGACTACTCAGTTTTTTGTCTGATGACTAAGTGTACATTTTTGTAAAGTGTACTTTTATACCCATAAACTATTGAAATGTTATTTATTTTGTCTTTCTAGGAATCAGTCGTTGATAGTGGTTTCCGTTGTGTGAACAATCGAAATTACACACAACTAAAAAGAGGCAGCGGATTTCCTTCTATCTGTCTTAAACAGAAAAGTCTGTCGGACAGAATATCTATCGTTTCTTTGAAAAACTAAACTGCAAAATTTGCACAAACATTTTTTTTTAAATGTTTTCTTTTCTTAATACTACAGAAAGACTGAAAACGCAGTATTAAGTGTACATTTGTTTGTAAATTATATTTTTATAAACACAAATTATTTATATGTGTTATTTATTTGGTCTTGCTAGGAAAAAGCCTTAGTAATGTAATTAATTTGAAAAGACAAAGAAGCTAGCATTGGAAACGTATTAGAAAATTAACATGAACACGTTTAAAAGAGTTTTTTTTCGAAAATTGTTAACACAAAATACATAGCCATGTGCATAATGACTGGTGTAGCATGAGGACCAGGACTGCTTACCCTTCCGGAGAACCTGAAATAATCCCCGGTTTGTAGTGGGGTTCGTGTTGCCCAGTCTTATTTTCTTTGTTTTGTTTTGTTGTTTGTGTTTTCGTCATTTTTGGGGTATTGTAATCCTTGTTGTTGCTCAGTGTGTAATAACACTAACGGTACCAATTTTTCTGGACCAGATGCGCGTTTCGACAACAAATTTCTTTTCGGTGATGCTCGAGGCCAAAATATTTGAAAATCCAAAGCTTTTGAAGAGCTTTTTAAAAACCAAAACGGACAAAAAATAAAGCCAAGTCGGGCAAGGAATAAAAGCTTTGCATGAGGGAGATATATTCCTTTTAATATAATTTCCAATATTTTGCAACTACAAATTATAATAACACAAAATCCGTATTAGAATTCTTTGCTAGCCGTATGATTTTATTTTTGTCCCTATTTGTAGTAATTTCATTATGTCAAAAGATGTGTTTTCTCTTCCATTTCGTGTCTCATTACCAAAGACATAGGGTTCTCTAGAATCTCAATTTTTGCCAAATGATATTTGTTGGCATATGTCTTTTTGTTTGTTCTCATTCATTTACGATAAATTTTCACTGCTGTTCTCGTACTTTGAACAAAAAATTTATTTATTTTGTAAAAAATATCTCCGTACTCCTAACAACAAAATTATTATAAAAATATTTTACCTGTGTACGTTATTTTATTTAACGCCATTTTGTCCAAGGTTATAGTTGTCTTTTTGACATTGTATCATAGATCAATTGTATTCGTTCAGTGTATGTTTACTTGTTTTTGCTAATATGTCTTTTTGATTGAGTTAAGCCATTTCAAATGATATTTTATAGTGTGTTTTTCTATGTTGTAATGTTACACTACTATTTCAGGTTAGGGTGAAGGGTGGCGCCTGTTAAAACGTTTAAACCCACTGCATTTGTTTGAGCCTGTCCTAAGTCAAGAACCTGTTTCAGTTGTTGTCCTTTGTTGATGTGGTTCTTCAGCGTTTTTTCGTTTTATCGTTTTTTATATAGATTAGACCGGTTTTTTTTATGTTTGAAATGTTTTACACTAGTCATTTTGTGGCCCTTTATAGCTTGGTGTTTGGTGTGAGCCAAGGCTCCGTGTTGAAGGCCGTACTTTGACCTATAAATGTTTTTTTTTTTTTAACACATTGTGACTTGGATGGAGAGTTGTCTCATTGGCACTCGTACCGCATCTTCTTATTTATATTTACTCCTGTGTTTTATGTAAGCATATCTTGTCTTTTGATTTTCTTTACGGTTGAACTTCAGTGGGACTGGGAAATCACTATACTGTCTGTAAAAGTAATTATAAAGTATGCCAAACTCTAAGTTATGCATCATTAAATCAGGAGAATTTAGAATTGTTTGTAAAGGTCTTGTTTATATGAGGTCATTCACTTCACAGTATGAGTATGACGTTTCACTGCATACAGATTTTTTATTTTCATTGCAGTATAGTTTGCAGGTGAAGTACATTATTTACTACAAAATTTTAATTCAAAATTTCACTCTAAAAGCTCACTCCAAAAATTTCCCTCCAAAATCTCCCTCCAAAATTTCACTTCAATACTCCACTCCAACACCCCACTCCATAAAATACATTATGCCTAAGATAAGATAAGATGAGAAAATTTTATTTTGATTCGGCATTTATAAAACCATACAACACAAGCTCGAGAGAGCTTTTGACCATATATAAATATATATAAATAACAAGAATAACAACAAGCATTACATACACAAAATTTGGCATTCATATGTAAACAGACTTGGTTTAACAACGTTTAAGCAAATTTGAAGTAGGATAAAAGTGTATTCTTCCCAAAAAAATTTGAAAAAAACACCGAAAGTCGTGATAAAATTTCATATATAAAAACAAAAACATTCGATAATGACTGGTTTCAAAAAAGTCATTATACAATATCAGATTGACATGTTCCAGACTTTATGATAATACATATACACATGTATATGTTACATAAGTTACTATCCATTGGTAGATGTGAATTATATTCCCCCTAGACAAAATAAGAAATTAAAAATACAAAGCGCAGTTTATCAGATAATAATAAACAAAACAGTTACGAGACAGTTAAGAAATGTAAGATATATGATGAAATATTATAAATTCATCACAGAAAACGAAACATAAGCAACATTTAATTCTTTTTTACAAATTGTGCTATATTCAGGCACTAGCAGCGGTCGTAGTATTGACAATGACAAGTAAATCTTCCATGAAAAGTATCAGTCTGTGATTG